CAGAGACATCACTGAGCTGATCAGATCAGCTGTTACGCTAATGTTTAGCATCCAGGCAAAAACAGGATTTATGAAGCGTAGCTGAGCTGGAAATCAGCCCATAAACTGTGCAGCACTGCTGTAACTTTGTAATTAAAACAAGACGCAAAACTAAATATGAGCAATTTGAAGGGATACATATGGACACATCAGCACAGAGGAGATGGAGGATGAGAGCTGTTATAGGAAAACCTCAGAGACAAATGCTGTCCTATGGCAGGATGAAGACAGCGAAAATCGACCAACATGAGCCAAGAGAGCGTCTCAGGTCATCCCATACGACTCGCTGTGAGGAAAACTCCTGCTCAAGCTTAAAGCTGGTGCTAATATAAAGCTGGGGAGGCTGAGAATGACTGGTTCATATTGTTTGCTCGGGGCCCGTGTCCAACAGAGGAGACGCTTTTAGCAGGAAAAACAAGCTCTATAAATTATCACTTATCTTATATGATCCTGTCCTAATGACTTCACCCGAGTCTCCTTTCGTTTATCAGGTAAACTGGCGTCTTTGCAACACCAGCTGTGCTGTTTAACCTCAGAGAATCAATATGAACTAAAACCTAATCCATTACCAACGATGGGATCAATACAAAACCAGTACGACTGTGTGAAACGGCTTCACACGTCACTAATATAACCGTGGACGATGTTCTCAGGTTGTCATTATTATGCACAGTGTGGTAAAACGGGCTTGAACATCTTTAGTCTGTATCCACAAACCGAGGGCTCAACGATCTTCTGTTTTCAGGAAACTAAGTGGTGGTTTAGTGCAGCATAGGTTACCATGATGATGTATCCTAGCACAAAGTTAAGCCTAAAGTTAGCTCAGCGAGTCCTTCGTCCTCCTCGCAGCACAGTCCTGAGACCACTGTTAGTTACAATAAATTACCTTGAAGTCATACGTGGCATCAGGATTCTCATCACAGGCGATGACCTCCGGGGCCATCCAGTACGGGGTCCCAATAAACGTGTTCCTCCGTCCCACCGTACGGTCCAGCTGAGCACTCACACCAAAGTCCACTGCACACAAAACACTGATTATAGCGCTGCAGTGCAGTGCTGAGCTGTGCATTTTATGTTTTTGACAGCACGCATCCAGAGCAGCCCCTCAGGAGCCTTTTAACTATAACACAAGTCAACATAATTAGGATGAAACTTAGAATAAATGCTGCTGCTTCCTCACCGAGTTTGACCTCCGCGTTCTCCGTCAGCAGCACGTTCTGGCCTTTGATATCTCTGTGGATGACCTTGTGCTGGTGGAGGTGGGTCAGACCCTGGAGACAAGGGGGAACAA